TGACCAGTGGGGTCTGCAACCTGCCCCTTTTGCTGGACCGAGTGGGACGGGCTGAAGTGACCAGGGCGAGGCGGTTCCTCAGCTTTCAGGAACTAAAGGTGGCATACACAGCAATCACTTCTCCAGTCCTCACCCACCCAACCCCCAACCGCCACCACCACCACCTTGTGAGATTCAGAGGGACTGACTCAAACTTATCAGTGAACTTCTATGGCTGAGGATGGATTTGACCCTGGGTCTCCCCAGTAGTGGTACAACACCTTAACCATCACGTGTTACAGAAACATAAATATAGCTATGGTAATGGTGGTGTAGCTTTGTAGATGGATGTCTTCCATCAGTAGGCCAATACATATGCAGATGTAATAAAGAAACCCAATGCATAGTGACATCAGAAGGAAATTACTGTAAATTAAATACAAAAAAAACAACAATGGAGATTCAACCTTAAAGCTACAATCTTTTATCTAGGTATTGTATTTATAAATAGATAACACTATGGTTTATTGTATCTTGGAAGAGCTTTTGTCCTTAGACAGTCTAAAGATTTTTAAAATAAAACAAATAAAGCAGTATTTTTAAGTACTTTTATTTGAGGACTATGGTTCCTCCCTAAATGGTGACAGGGTTAGTTTTTAATTTTTTTAAATACCTTATAGAAACTCAGGAAGTCATACAAGTATAGGGTAGAACCTCAAGATGGGAATTTTAGCAGTGGGAGGAAAAAAAGGAAGAAAAGTAGAATGGCTTTTTTGAGAAGCTAAATATTTTGTTAACACCAAGGTAGAAGAGATAATTAAGTGATTGACAAGCAAGCTAAGATTTATGTTCTGTGATCCATCAGATTAGAAGCATGTTCAATTAAAAGTAAGTTTGAAGCAGAACTCCCAAGGCAGTATGCATAGATAGCATTCATGTCACACAACCCTGGGTTTACTTAGATGTAACTTCCTCTGATTATGGTAGCCCTTAACTGCTGTGCCTAGGATTAAAACTGCTGTCTTCTTGATCTAGATAAGATCACAATTGTTGCAATACAAATGTTATAATAAAGACGGTTTCTCTCTCTGCAGAAGAGTACTGGGACTCAGAAATGGAGCCTCCTTCCTGCCTTGTGGTGTGCATAAGCGAAGCAGCAGCCCACAGGAAACTCTTCACCTCTCTGAAAGCGGATGTTGTGGTACCTGTGCTTTGTACTCCATACACTAAATACTTTTAAAGAAGGAAAATACTTCATCTTTCTCCTTCTACTTTTGTGAGAGGTGAAAAGAATGGCTACAGAGTAGATCCAAGATTGAAATAACAAGCCTTTATTCCAGGAGGGTCATTTCTCTCACCGTGTGATGGGCTCAGGTAAACATAACTGTTCTAGGATAGTGGGAGGTTTACTGTAGTGGGGCTAAAGTCTTATTTCTGTGGGTTTTTAATTGAAATTTTTCTCCGTTCCTTCTGTCTTTATTGCTGCTATGGAATGAGGTTTCCCATTTTGAGTGGACAAGAAATGGCAGGTAAGGAATGGGGCTTCTGAACGAGACAGCAGAATGAATACTCTGATATGGGAGGAAACGCAGGAGGAATAAATAGGAAGTGGGAGTTTGTATTCTTTCTTATTCCCAGCTGAAGTTTCTGTTATATTCACCCAGCAGGAGAAAGTTTCCATGGGTAGTATTTGGCAAGGTGTATTTTCTTGGGAGGACTGGTTGGCAAAAAAACAAGGAAGGGTTCAAGCAGGTCAGCCAATGTTCCCAAAGTGCTTTAGAAGAAGAGTTACCTATCATAGACTCATTGATGTCGGACAGTCCTCAGATTTAAGGCCAGCTTAGCTGCCATCTCTCCATTTCCATTTTGAAAGCTGAACGCTATCTTGAAAGTTTCAGGTAACTCTCTGGCTAGGATTGCAGCTCTGATTCTTCTTTCATAAACAGCTTCTCAAGCAGATCTTCTGCTTGGAGCACAACTCCTCCAAAGAGAAATGGCCAAACCTTTTTCACAGCTTCTGGAACTGGAAAAGCATCTCCTTATCTGAACTTCTGAAATTCTAATCTTAGCAAACTCAGCTGACCGAGACAAAAATGTAACAAAAGTAGATGAAGTACAGGTAGTCCCCAGTTTAAGAACGAGTTCTGTTCCCAAGGTCTGTCCTTAAGTCAAATTTGTATGTAACTGGATTAGAATTTCAGAAGTTCAGATAAGGAGATGCTTTTCCAGTTCCAGAAGCTGTGAAAAAGGTTTGGCCATTTCTCTGAAATTCTAATCTTAGCAAACTCAGCTGACCGAGACAAAAATGTAACAAAAGTAGATGAAGTACAGGTAGTCCCCAGTTTAAGAACGAGTTCTGTTCCCAAGGTCTGTCCTTAAGTCAAATTTGTATGTAAGCCGGAACAGTATTATTGTATAATACTGTATAAGTAGTATTGTGTAATGAACTCAAACCATTGTGTATTTAACTTGAATCATTGTGTATTTAACTCAGATTTTGCTACAATAAGGCTCCATTCTTAACCATGGGTTGACTATGACCTGGGCATTCTTAACCTGGGGACTACCTGTATTGTGTTATCCAGTTAAAAATAACTGTGGTGTGCAGTGATAATAATGTTAGGGTATACCTCCCAAACCAGAGCTATTCAAAGCATTTTTACTCTTCGGTAAAAAAAAGTTTCCAGTGTGGCTTACTGTATGTACAATTCATCAGGAGTTGAACCCATGTAGTACCTACTGGCATGAGGGTAATTGACAGATGTACAAAGTACAGCTGACCCATCAAAGAGAATCATAATACAGCTTGTCTGGTTTCCTTTTAGTGGGATGTGAGGGTGCATTGTTCCTGAGGTGTGCATGCAAATATATGATAAAGGTAGAAGAGTTTGGCCCCGATTCTGCTGGCCTTTTGGAAGGCCCTTAAGACCTGGATGTGTCCTGGGCGTGGGGGTCAGAATATTACCCATGATGTGCTTATTGTTCCCTCCATACTGGTGTGATTCCTCGGCTGCTGCATTTGCTGCTGTCTTTTACGGTTTGTATTGTTTTTAAATGTTGCAAGCCCCCAGAATCACTATTGGGAGATGGGTGACCCTATGAATCGACTAAACAAATAATTCAACAATGACAAGAAATAAAAAAAAAAAACATTTAAGCCTCCCCGCTTAACAAAAACTGGCCCTGAAAGACGATTCTGAGTCATTATTCAAGTGGTGATGAATAGGGCATTTTTCAGTTGGCTCTTTTCTGTGTTCAACAGGAAATAATAAAAGGCTACAATTTATAAACAGGACGCTTTCATCTGAAGGCAGAATACCTAAAAACGCTTAAGGACTGTGTTGTCTTTCCATCCGGCCTTGCATGTTTTCAATCAGTTTTCTCCCAAGCTGCATCTACTCTGTACAACTCAGGAGCATCAGGGTACAACTACAGTTTGTATTGCTCACCGATGGTGGGAACTGTAGTCAAAATATATGACAGCACCAGCTTGGGAAGTGCTGTTTGATAGCTTACAGTACCTCGAATTGGGCTCTCAAACCTGTCGGTAACCACTGGAGCATCTGGAGAATAGGTATTATTATGCTAGAGTAGTTGCTCTCACGTGTAAACCTTCTGGCTGCTGCGTTTTGTACAGATTGCAGTTTCGGAGGCCTCTTCAAAGACAACTTGTAAAGCTTGTTGCAGGAGTGTCAATGGATGGTGGTGAGGGTGGGAGTCACTGTCTCCAGAACTTCTCAGTGCAGGTGGCAAGTATTGCCTATTGCAGGGGGCAGTGTTGGAAAAGTGGGACCATCATTTAAAATTCCCAGCATGCCTCAGGGCAAACTTGGGGGCCTAGTGGGAAATCAAAGGGCATTTCAGTCCAGCTGCGAGGCCTGAACTCTGGCAGCGTGCCGTTGTGTCGCATCTTCCCAGCAACAATCAGGACTGGAGAAGAACCGCATAGAGACTATGCTATTGGAGAGACTGAAAAAAAAATATTCAGGAAGAAAGTTGAAGGGAAAACACAAGTTTTCTGGCCAGTACCTTTGCTTTCAAACATAGAACCCGTTTATATGTAATTTGTTAGATTCTGGCTTTCTTCCTCCTGCACTTTTAATTCAACAAGGAAGGCACCAGTTTCTTCTGAGAAGGCTTTTGGTGACATAATGGTAATTAGCCACATTATCTGCCTGTGAATCCTCTCTTACATCTGGTTTCAGTAGTTTCCCAAGGTTACCAAGTCCTGAAAACAAAGCCAGTGCCACCACAGTGGACAGTGTTTTGAAAAAACGAACAACAATAACAAAAAAAGAGCTGCTCCCTGGCTTTTTCCAACCTGTCCCCCTGATGGTATAGCTAGAGCTGAACTTTGGGGCAAAAATCTAAAGGCCCAGAAAGAAGGACACCAAAGAGGTCCAAGTTCAGCTTGGCCAGCTCACCATGCTAGCCTTTATTTCATCTTGTTGTCAAAAACATTTTATAAAATGGATGAACCAGGAATGTACCTGATTATTTATTTAGTTGTTGTTACTTTAAATATTTGTTTTTCATTTCTATAGGAATCTTATTCCCAACTGATCGTTATATAAAGTGACCTCTTTTAAATCATGAAATGTGGGGTCCCCATATACTGTCTGAGTTCTTGTGTCCGTTAAGTGTGAAATCCCTACCAGTACCTGACCGCAAAAGTTGACCATTCACATGTGGAATGGCCCCTGATACAGAGAATAGAGTGATCTTTTCAGAGCTGGTTGTCCCCGGTTCTGAAGATGACCTGCTCTGTTGAAGGTTATTTCTGGTACAGTATAAGCTTGCCTTGGAGGGCAAAAACACTCTGAGAGATGTTGACAAGAACAAGGCTGGGGAGTCCCAGGGAGCTGGGTGAACACAGCTTAGCTTCCCCTCTCATCTGATTCTGTTTGACAAGCCAATTCCACTGGGAACGACTTCTGCTTAATATGGCTCTGCTGTGCTCGTGCTCTGCAAGGAGCTGCAAGTACATTGTTGCTTCCTGTTGCAGCAGCTAATTTGGTCCTTCTGGTGACTTAGATTCTTCCAGAAGTGGAAGAGGGCAGAATTAACCCATGTGTGACAAAAAATAAACTCTGATTATTTTCCCAATCTAATAGCTCTCCTAAAAAGTCATCCATGACCTGACTTGACCCTTACCCCAGGTATAAAGAAATATTGACATGCTATGTCTGAGAATACAATCTGATAGTTGGAAGCACTTTTGGGGCTGAAGATACTCCCCTTCTTGGTTATAGTGCTACTATCTCTTTCTGGCTCTGCTTTCCTCTGAGTACTATTCCTTCCCATAGTTTAGGATTTTCTGTACCATCAAAGTAATTTTTTTCACTAAAAAAAGATGCTGAATGCCTGACGGTTTAAGACTGATCTTCACACTCGTAAATCTTTACTCTTCCACTGTAAAGTGCAGGAGGACTTGGTTGCCTTTCTATGCTACTGGCTCTATTATGCATTGATTCCTGGAAGAACTTTCTAGGCAGAAAATTCCCCATTCAAAACATTACTATCTTTTATTATTATTATTATTATATTTTTATCCAGATAGATAAATAGGTAGGTAGATGGATGAATGGTTAGATAGGTAGAATCAATCAAAGGCAGTGAACATACCTAACAATCCTGTCTCCTCTTTGCCCCACAACAATAACCCTATGAGGTGGGTTGGAATGAGAGAGAGTGACTGGCCCAAAGCCGGCTTTCATGCCTAAAGGGAGGCCTAGAATTCACAGTCTCCTGGTTTCCAGGCCAGCACCTTAATTACTATACCAAACTGGCTCTGGCACAAATGGTTTTTGTAGTAATAAATCAAGAAAATTAGTCTGGGTTTATTTTTAACTAATAGTTGCTAAGGTTCTCTGTCCTTTTCTTCCCAGGAAAATGAGATCTCACCTCCAGCTGCTTTCTGAGTTACCACCAAATGACATTATTTTAGACTATAGAGGAAAATGTTATTCGTTCAGGATGCTTCCTATTTTTGTAAACCAAACTTACATAAATCAGTATTGTTCAGTTATTAAATGATCCACAATTTGTGGTATTTTGAATAATATCCTCAGGCTTAACAAGTTACAGTGTCTAAGACATTGGGTTTACTGGCATTTTATATAAGTCACATCTTCAACACATCTAAGTTCAGTACCCCAATTGTTTTCATCACAGGTAAAAAGTTAGCATGCTGAAACCTAGAGTTCCCAGCTCTTTGGGGCCAACTTGACTTGGGAAGATGTTTTCAGGCCGGTTCTTTGAGGGGTTCATTCACCCCCAGAGTGAGTCATCCCTGGATTCCCCAGGTATTGTGGTGCTGCAGGCTCTCTACGACTATCAGTACAAATCTGAGGATGGGAGGCAGGTGATCATTGCAGAAGGGGAGATGTTCCAGCTTGTGCACAAGGCCAACGAGGATTGGTGGCAGGTGAAGAGGTTCGGTCAGCCCAAGCAAAAGAGGCCTATCTTTGTTCCGGCATCCTATGTGGCTGAAGTGCCCTGTGGCAGAAGAGCAAGCCTACAGCAAAATGCCTTCTTGCATCCTGGCATCCATTCAGAGCAGGACAGAGTTCCTGGTGAGTTGTTTTTCTGAAGATCAAGGGCCTGAACAGGGTTGGGCAAAAAGTCCAGGAGCTGGATCTCCCAAGCAACTTTGTTCTACCTCTGGAGTCCCCGCCAGCCACAATAGCTGAACATTGGAAGCACATTCCCATAATTTTGAGGTGGAAACATTACATAAAAAAAGTAAAAAAATTAGGGGGATGAGACATCCTGATTTCAGAGGAAAAGTGCCACACTCTGGCCATACCACCCCAAATCAGCCAGTTACTGTATAGCATAGAAAATTACTTCAGTGTTGTCACTCATTGCAACTCTGTGAGTGTCTAAGTGGACTACCATACATCCAAAAGAGCACTAGATGGCAGCAATAAGTTACAGTTTTGTGGGTAGGTCTGCTGCTATCTAGTGGTTGTCTAGATTTTTGAAGCCAAGATCTGGTAGCATTAGATTAGTATCTATACAAATTAATGTGTAGATGTTCTTTTCTTTTGGAAATGTGGTCACCGCTAGTGAACTGTGTCTAAAAACAAAGGAAAAACACATTCCTGCCCCTTAAACTAAAATTTGAGTGCTGCCCATCTGTATGACAACCTCACCTATTTTTCATTGTGACACACTGTGTATGTGTCTCTCTCAAAAGAGAGGTGTGGCCCCCAGTCCCAAAAGAATGTCTGTCCCTGGTATGGACATTTATGAATCCAAATACAGTGGCATTATACCCCTGACAGTGGTGCTGTGTGATTGGTCCAGGACACTGCAGTCTGTTTTGGGGGAGAGTAGATGGGGATGGTGGCAGGCCATTAGCCAGTAGTGACAGTGACAAAGAGAATTCCTGGACAATAAAGAGAAGGATTGGTTCACCGTTGGCTAAGAAGACTGACAATTGAGAAGGGGAGTTTAGAAGAAGAGGGCCAAACTTCTTAAAATTTCATAGTGCCACTGATTCCCAAGAGTGACGTGGAAGCTGAAAAATCAGAAGCGGCAAACCTATGTCGATTGGGCTGGGGCCTAGAGGTTCAGGAGGTTAGAAATAGAAAGGGATTCCTTCAAGGGCTATACTCTAGATCTAAGCAAAGAAGACTTTCTGGGGCAGAGATTTCATATCCTGTTTTCGCTGGAAGTCTCAAAAGGTGGTAGCACTTGGCCAGCCTTTACTGGACTTGAAAGCAAAGCCTGGTAGGGCTTAGCTAATATTTTGATGGGAGACCACCAGAACTATAGGATGGACTGGGAAGTAAAAAAACCACGATAGGAGAAGGCAGTGGCAAACCGTATCTGCAACGCTGCCAAGAAAACTCCATGGATTAGTCCCCAGAAGTCAGGACTGATTCAAGAGTCTCTCCTTAACTTTTCATTGCAAACATTCTCAGGATAGGAGTCAGTATAAAATCAAAACAACAGGTAGGCAAAACCAAAGGTAATTTGGATCAATTCTTGAACAAATGCTTCATTGAACATAACATTTATCAGATGGGATTTAAAAAAAAAACATTTAAAAAGTCCATAGGATATTTCTCTTAAGGTCAGTCAATGGGGATGTCATAGCTGGGTTACCCCCAAAGAGGAAGCTCTGTATCCTACCAAGATCTACACCTGCAGCATCCAAGGACCTGGAGAAGGTCCTCTGAGTGAGGCAGAGCTTAATGCACAGGCAAGGAGAAAGAGGCAAAAGAAGGCCAACAAGTAGGGATGGAGAAGCTGGTGCAGGTATGTGGTGATGGCAGCAAATACATGTGGTCCAGATATAAAATGGAAACAGCCAAACCTCACAAGAGATTAAGTTAGCATGCCAGCTTCTGACGGGGCAGCCTGGAGGAAGATGAGGAATGGAGGAGTGCTTAGACCTGATTAGACAGGAAAATGCCTTGTCCTTCTCAGCTCAGCAGCTGCCAGGTGTGCAGCACTGCAACTCCTAGAATTCCCAGCCAGCAGCTTCAAGCTGTCCTAGCAAAGAATTCTAGAAGTTACAATCCCAAATTCTCTGGATGGCACTAAGCAGAGGAAGGATGCTCAACTGGAACAATAGTGCAAAGTCTAAAAGTTCCTGCTGAAAGAGTATAGAGTGGCTGTAAGATCACCATGTCCTTTAACAGGTGGCCATTAGAACATTAGGTCTGCTTAGCCTCTCCCACTGCTCTGATGTCCCAATAGTATCTACACCCCAGAGATAGTACATGTATGCAAATCACAAAGCAACGTTGTAGCTGGAAGCATGGATCTAGGCCCTCACGCAGATAGTTGTGCTAGTGAGTCTATTAGCTAGTCTAAAAAGAATAATTGAAAAAAACAGACACACACAATTACAAAATAAGGCACTCAAAGAAAGAAACATAATCTGAATTTGTCTTAAGTAAAAGAGATTAATAGGAAGAATCTGCATTTGAGGCCCTCCTTTGAGTTTAAGCTAAAGAAACCCTCCTTGACTCAGCTAACTAATTTTCCTGCTCTCTGCAGAAGGTTGAAACAGTCAATTCTTGCAGTCCCTTTCAAATCCACTGCCCTATGATTCTCTTATACTGGTAGGCCTCCTGCTGGCCCTCGAGATCAGTGGTGCACAGGGTACAAGGAGTGGCTCTTGATAGACATTCAGCTAAGGTGTCTCAAATTTTAATTAAGACGTTCATCTTAGATGATGCTATGCCCGAGGGAGTTGGATGGTGCATGCGGTAGATGGAGCTGCTCCCTAGGCGTGTGCAGAAAGGCAAGGCTTCACCGCAGCAGGTGCATAATTTGTCTCTGCTGATTCTGCTTTTCTTCCTTCTAGGATGTTTGGAGGTGTTGTCTCATTCTCTGGAGGACCTCTGGGTGCCGCCACTCTCATCATCTTCCCGCCCAGGTCTGTTGTCCTGCCGCAACCACCTTCTTGCCAAGATGAGAACCCATCAGCTGTCCCTTGGCAGGAGCCACAGCCTGAGTGGCCTGTCTCAAATGAAATGCAAAGAGACAAAGCAGTGGCAAAGTTCAGAGGAAGAGCTGGCAAGAAGTGGGAGGTATTATGGGGTGAGTTCACCCTTTTCCTTTTCTCAGACTTCGTTTGTTTATTTATTCAATTTATATGGCCACCCATCTCAAACATATAACTCTGGGCAGCTAACAGGGAAGAAAAACTAAATAAAAACATCATAACAAGACAATAAATAACTAATATAGCAGCCAAGATAAAACCAAACAACACGTTCAACATAACCATGTCACGGGTGGCATTTAGAGAGAGAGAGAGAGAGAGAGAGATACACACACACACACACACAATAACGAGATTCCAGGCTTGACAGCTTCTTTGAGATATAAATAAATGGTGCCCAAGAGACTAACAACAATAAAAATATAGTATTTATTACAATTCCATTATATTATAATGTAACTTTTTTTTAAAAAAAGTATTCAGATGTAACTAAAATACATAAAATACATAACAACAACAAAAACTGTTATATTGTATTTTTAATTAATT